AAAATAAACAGTAAATTCTGTAAGAAAAGAAAATAAAAAGAATTACTGAAAGCAACACAAACAGAATCTTAAAACACGCTGAAAATACACACCAAAATAGAAGTTTATTTTAACTAAGGAAAATTCAAAAAGCATTTGTGTTAAAGACATTAGCCTGATGTACAATGAGGATGCTAAAACCTTGGGGATATAGTAATACATGTATTTATTTGGGAATATAAAAATCTATTTTCTTAGAAGTCGATGCATGGGTATTGTGGGTGCAGGCCTGTGATTCATTTCTTTCTTTTTTTTTTTTTAAAAAAAAACTAGTGTTTATTTCTGAGTGTTTGGTGGTTGCATTTTAGTACTGATGGAATTGAGCTATTGCAGGGTGATATATTCAATGAATTTCTCCTTCTATCAAGTTCAGTGTTTTACTGATTTTAAAAGCAGCCATTACTTTTATTGTCTCTAGCAAAACCAAACACATGCTTTACTTTAGTTCCACATCAGTATTGATAATGATAGGTCACCAGCTCTTCAGTACAACCCAAACTGTGGCATTATAAAAGCCTGTCTCCTTATTGAAGCTTAGCCTTTGCTTGTAAAAACAAGGCGAAGGTCCAATTAGCGATTCAGAGGAAAATGGGAGGGCAGTCTTTTGTGCATAGGCATCCCCATTCGAAAACCTATAATCCATAATGAGCCCTGTTTAACACAATGGATGCTCTCCTTTCAGACAAGCCCAAATACCAGGTCACTAATGAGCAAGAATTTAAAATGTGAAGGCCATGAATGAAACAAGTTATTGTGAAAATTGGCTCATATTAAGAGATTTAAAAGACTTGGCTAGTTCTGTTTGGCCTGACAGGTCTAGCTAATTAATCAAATGCTTTGATAAGTAACTAACTTCTCCCATTTTAAAGAGGAATTTGAATCTGCCAAACAGCGAAGGAAAAGAACAATCTTGATGCTGCTTAAAATATAAAGAATGGAATTTCACGGCCATGTACATGACCCATACTTTTTCTGACAATGATGTTCCAGTGAAAGCTTTGATATGTGGATATGCCAATTAGAAAGTATTAGAAATTAGCATATTTTAATGCCCTTGTAATAAGCCCTTACTCTAGGAAAAAGATACCAATATGGAGAGCTTTCTAGAAAAGACTTCAGACACTGTTGTCACTGGTCAGGTTTGCTAGGAAAAGCTTGCAATGGGACAGAGCACAAAGGACCAGGTTTCTTGTCTTGCTTCACTGCCAAGCACTTTCCTTTTACAGCTCTCACTGGTAGCCATCTCTGCAGCACAGGAGTGGTACTTGGTTAATTAGAATGCTCAGGAATCTTTTTCCCTCGTTGTCAATTCAAAAAACAATGTATCCGGTGGTAAGTCCTTTATTGTACTTAGAGTGAAAGCTCACAGGACAGATGTGCCTGCAGCAGTGACAATGGACCATGTCGTTTAAAAGGCAGCTGGAGGCCCTGCAAAGAGCAAGGACTTTGTAGTTATTCAGAGGTAGGCTGAAATATGGAGCCTCACCACTTAGGAGCTTTGTAACCTCCTGCAGGTCATTTAAAACATTTCGAACCTGATTTTTCTTATCTGGAAAATGGGACAGAGACTATTTTTGCAGAGCAGCTCTATGTTTAAGGACAGAGACTGGCACATGGTAGTACCTTAATAAACAGTGTGTATTTTTTCTGCCTAAGAACTTACTGTGGCAGAAAGTTACTTTAATGGCCTCCAAAGAACCACACCTCTTGGTATTTACAGGTCCACGGGTATCCCCTTCCAATTGCCATGGGACTAGATTTGGCTAATGGGACATTAACAGAAACTTGATAAGTGCTTGCACACTGGGTCTTGTACTCTTAAAATGCTTATTCTTCAAGATGATCCCTCTTTGAAATCAGCTGCCATTCTGTGAGAAGCTCAGCCTAGTCATGTGGAGAGGCCACATGAGGAGAATTGAGACCTCCCAGTAGATAGCCAGCACTGACTTACTTGCTATGTATATTAAACCATTACGGAAGGGGGTCCTTCAGCCCCTCCAGGTAAGCTACCCCATCTGATAGCACAGGAGCAGAGATAAGCCATCCCCACTGAGTCTTGCCCAAACTGTGGAATTGCGAGCAAACCAGTTATTGTTGTTTCAAGCCACTACATTTTTGGATGATTTGTTAGCAACAGACAACCAGAAGATTTAATCACCTTTTTACCATGTGCTACTGATGACCAACTCCCAAGAATTCTGCAGAGTGTCTAAAGAAGCTACAGCGTGCAATACTGTGAATAGCCAAGTATTTTCTGAGACCTTCGGAATTTTGTAATTGTTCCCCAACTCTGAATTGACCAAAACAATTGACCAAATATAGAACCCTCTCTCTTAAAGAGATTCTGAATAAATGAAGTCATCAGACAGGTGATTACCATATAGATACATTTTTGAATTTTCATATAGTTGTTGGAAATTTTTATGTATTTGGCCCTGTATTTCTCCTCCTGCAGTCCATCGTTTTTAGATAAATTCTCACAATGAACGCCAATATGGCAAGTTCCTAACTAGCTTTACTTACATCATTTATTTACTCTGTCAATAAGTAATATAAGTATTTCTGCTTGAAGTAACTTAAGAATATCTTACATCTGACAACAGTGAGGCAGCAAAGCCTGCTATTTCCTATCGCAGTGTCTATTTCCTCTTTCTTCTTAGCAAAAAAAACAAAAAACAAACAAACAAAAAACCCACAGAATATATTTGGGATTTGGGATGGTATATACCCAACCACCATTCTAGCAACCCAAGCCTTCCTGTCGACAAGGTATGGTCATGTGAGTTAGTTCTGACCAACAAGACCTAAGCAGAAGTAATGTATGGGATTCACAGAAAAAAAAACACTTTATGAAGAAGAGGACACCTCTTTTGCTTTCCCACTTTTCTTTTTTAGCTTCCTTCTTACTGGGGTGACTGGTAATCCAGCAGCAGTCTTGAACCATGAGGCAACCTTGAGTGTGCTAAGGATACAGAACTCCAGGTCCCTGATGACAGTTGAGTCACTCTACCAACTCTGGATTCCTTATGTCTGTACTTTTATTTTAGGATTTCCATTATTTGCAGATAAAATTAATCATAATGCAAATAACTTAAGCATTTCTATATGCGAAAAAAAAGAGAAGAGTTTGTGGTCTCAAATTAAAATTTTTAAATGGAAAAGAAAATATTTCTGAAGGAGATCAACAAGTTACAAATAAGAAGTGTGCTGGTGAAAAATAAATACGTGCAACCTATAATCCAGTAAGAGTCCACACCTTTTTATTATAATTTGTTTTGCATATTCTAAGATTAACTACATAAAAATAATCATATGATGCCTCTATAACTGCTGAGTATGGAAAGACAGAGAGAGACCAGTCATCACTGCTGTATTTCTTCAGTGGTTTGGTGGAGCCATTTAAGTATACTTTGAACATCCAGTTAAAGAAAACCAAAATACACATTCCAGATTATAAATTGAAGAAATCTGCCTAAATATAACCAAATGACAGCACTCTTCTTAGATTGAAATACCCAGATTCTATACAATGAAATCCAGTGTGATTAATGACATGGATGACTAATGACATGGATGGGAGATGAACACAATGGTGTGTGTGAATGCACAGATATATGATAATTATCAAAAGCTCTATAAAAGCAGTTTTATTTTTCAGAGGAAAATTGCAGGAGGTTCTTAACTTTTTGCAATAACTGAAAAGAGCTTCTTTTATACTGAAATCTCAAATTCAGATAGTTTCATGGTGAAAGATTATATTTTCAACAAAATATTCAGATACCTCACTTAAATGAATGTTAAACCTACCAGAAAATAGTGAAAGTAAAATTGTTTTCTTAATAGTTATTGAAAATAGAAACTCACTCTCCAGAGCTTGTAACACCAAGCCATAGCTCATGATAGCATTGCAAGTACACCAGGTGGTTTACCAAAAACTGTAGCTAGAAAAATGAGAAAGGGGATACTGTGAATGACAGAGTTTACTATTAAGTAGAACATTATACAAATTATATCTACAATGTTTAAAAGGCTCAAATACGCTAAAACATATCCATCTTAAGTGGAAAGTTATCCATCATAAGTGGAACAATATCTTATGTGTTTTTAGCAGCTAGAATGTTTTCCATCTTTTGCCAAAGCTTTAAATCCATTTATAATTCTTTTAAAAAAGTCATTGAAGGATAAGTGACATCACATTCCCAGCTAAAGTCCATCGAGTTTTATAGAAATAAGGCTCTTATTTTGTACAAGATGCTAGAAATTGTACTTTTAAAAGGTCTATGGTACTCATGACTTCAAGATATATTTTGATATACGTTGTTTTCGCCATTTTGTTCAAAACTATGAGATGCCAAATACCTGGATTTCTGAATAAACATCTGAATTCTAAACAGTATTAAACATCCATTTAGAGGCATGAAATAAAACACATATACTTGTACAAGGACTAGTCTAAGGCACCTATGAGATCAGGCAGCCTTTAATAGACTGAAGTCTTTGGAAATGTAAGTGTCCACTGTAGGCTTTACTCAGGAGTACATCGGGGCAAGCTGGGGAGTGCCAGAGGGGGTCTTGGACAAATCTATTCACCTACATAGTAGCTCCCAGTGGTCTTGAGTATTCTCCCTAATTTTCCATATGATCAACTGGAGTATAAAATAAGCCATCTTAATCTCCTTGGACCATTCAATAGTTCTCTCATTCTTCTAGCCAAGGACTATGCCCAAAGATGTGAACTAGACTTAGGGAAAACAAAAGAGAAAGGAAGAATTAGGTGAGGCTGTTTCCTTGCGAAAGTATTCTCTCTGGTACACGTGATGACAGCAAGTGTTCTCAGCCTCGACTGCATGTTGAAATCATCTGGGAGCTTTGAAAAAAAAATCCAGGTGCCCAGGCTGCACGCAAGACCAATTAAATCATGATTTTAGAGAGATGGTATTCAGAGATCAGGATTTTTTTTCTTTTTTTGGTAAGCTCTCCAGGTTATTCCAAGCCCTTTATCTGACCAAATTGTGTGGTTGTAGATATACAATCTAATTCATGACTGCCAGATTAAGATATTAACCCAATTATTCTCATTTTAGTATACTGAAAATAAGAAAACATCATTTTTATTTTAATTTGTTTGACTGCTAAAAGAATAATGTATTCCAGTGTCAATATGCCAAAGCAAATAATATATTTCATATGAAAGGCACCTATTTATGAGTCTGAGCAAGACTGGAAAACTGCCAATGCACATTTTCCAACAGACTAGGAGGCTTAGCAGGTAGTAAGCTGAACTGGCATGTAAGGCCCTGTGTTAATGAAAATGCAGAACTCTGGTTTCCTAACTATTCATGATTGGGAAATGAGAGTTTATAGTTCCGGAGGCTTTCCACGCAACTCACATCATCCAGGCATAATGAAAATCTGACACCTATGTACCCAAGTATTATGTGAATGCTGTGCAAATGCTATACAGAGAAACACAGCAGCTTAACCAGATGGAGAACAAAAACACAGCAGCACCCAATGAATGAGTAAGTAAAATCCCTATGAATCAATTCACTCAGGCATAATACCCTAAATCCTTAAAAAAGAAAAAAAAAAAGAATGCAACAGAAATCCATTTCCACAATATGCCCAAGGGTAACTAATGTAACAAACTGGCTAATGACAATACAAGATTAAAATAAACACCAAAACCCACTATAGCTGGATTCATATTACTTAGATGAGAAGCTAAGTTAAGATACTGTAGGGAAGCTCACTTAATTACACTGGTGATGAAATTGTCTTTTCTTTTTTCTTGAGTTCAAGCACTTATGACTTGGGCCCAACTTTCCTGACCTTGTGAGTAAGCTGAGCCACATGTTCAGCAGAAGATATCACAGTAGCTGTATTTTTATAAGAAAATTCCTTTTTAATTATAAAACGAAAGCAGGGAAGACAAAAAAAAAAAAAAAGGAAGAAAAATAATTTGTAATCTCACCACCTTAAGATACCAGAACAGTTAAATCTACACCCACAACTCCTTTAATAATGAGAGGATGAGGTTCCTCCCGATCTTTGGCCAGCAGATAGAAGTAGGATTTCAAAATGTAGGCAATCTTCTTAAAGGCCTTCAAAAGCTATTTCACTAACATTTACCCTTCCCTTCAAACCAAAAGCATAGGCAATGCTATTGCTTTCTCCCTCCTTCAGTACAAACTCTTCCAAGCCTTCTAAGTCCTCAGTATCTCTCAAAGAAATCCACTCTGTCCACTTTTACCAGCAGCACTCTGGGGTGATGATCAGAATTACTTATAAAGCTTCCTTTCATTTGGGTATATTCTTTTTCAAACTGTCCACACACCACAGCCAGAGGAATCTCCCTCTGGCCTTCCCATGGCTTTTAGGCTGGGAATAACCTTCTAATATCTACAGCATGGTTCACAGGGCTTTCCATGTCACCTCCTCCATGGGCTTCCCATGGCTTTTAGGCTGGGAATGACATTATGATATCTGCAGCATGGTTTGCAGGGCTTGCATCTTCCCAGCTTCTTCTGTCTCCACTCTCCCTCCTGAACTCAGTGCCCCAGTTACATTGTCGTTTCAATGCTAGAATAAGGCCTCTGGGCCCTGAACACTTCTGTCCTTTTCCTCCCGACTCCCACTTTAGCTTAATCATCTTTTAAGTTTCAGCTTAAAATTTACTTTCTGCAGAAAGCCTTTTCTGATCCCTAAAATCATTCTTCTGGCTTCCGGCTCTCTTATCACCTGAATTTCCCATCATAACACTCATCACCTGGTATGTACTGATTTGTTTAATAGCTTAGCTGCCCTCCCTACCAGACAGTAAGCTTATGAGGGGAAGGTTTTGTTTCTGTCTTAGATGGTGGTATTCACATTGCCTAGCGAAGCAGCTGGGCAAAAGCAGATTTTCTACATAATATTTGTTGAACAAGTGAATGAAACTTGAATTGCCTTATCTTGTGCTTTTTTTATTCTTATTAATAAGTCCTGCAGCCACACCTCATAATTCAAGACAGTCAGGTCAAAACATTGACTGACTAGTTGGAGGTATTTTATTTTTTTATTATTATTTTTTTTTTTTGAGGCAGAGTCTCACTCTGTCATCCAGGCTGGTGTGCATCGGTGTGATCTTGGCTCACTGCAACCTCCGCCTCCTGGGTTCAAGCGATTTGCCTACCTCAGCCTCCCAAGTAGTTGGGATTACAGACATCTGCCACCACATCCAGATACATTTTTTGTATTTTTAGTAGAAATGGGGTTTCACCATGTTGGCCAGGCTGGTTTTGACCTTCTGACCTCAAGTGATCTGCCCACCTCGGCCTCCCAAATTGCTAGGATTACAGGTGTGAACCACCATGCCCAGCCAAGTTTGTGATTTTAGACAGGTTAATTAACCTCTCTGAAGTTTGGTTTTGTTAATATAATAATAGGATTCACTAAGACAGTAACCATAGCTGTCATTGTCATTGCAGCAGCCACCTCTATCTCCTCTCTCTCAAAAAAAGAAAAAAACCTAAGGAAGAGAAATGAAAACACTCTCTAAACGGCAATACTATTTGGAAAGAATTTTATAGTTCCATTCATATCAACATAGCTGTAGCTCTCATTCTAGATTAATAAGTACATATCCTTAAATATTATAGTTTATGTAATGGACTCCTTCAAACAATGTAATATTGGCCATCTTCTGCATGCATGCTATATGCCAGTTGTCATCCTTTAGGTAAAGCTAGAATTTTGGCAAGCAGAGTTCCTATCTTTTTTCATAGGTGGACCTGGAATCTTCATGTGTCAAAATCTTGAATTATCATATGAATGTTTCAGCCACAGGATGTAGTCACTAAAATACCCCAACAAGAAATACAAGATATTGCTGACTCCTCCTTTTCTATATGAATGCATATAGAAAAGGGGGTCACTCAGAGACCAGTGAGCTTAGAATGGGGGGCATTCAGGGGGCCACTCAGAGACCAGTGGGCTAAGACAAAGAAAGAAACCCAGTGCCAAAGAGCCAAAGCCACTCCAGAAGGTAGTAGGATTTGGTACCACAGACCTCAGTGATGGTGATGTGTCATATTCTTCCCTGGTGTCTGCCTCCATGCCTAGAACAGTGGCCCCAGCAGGGGATATCATAAATATCTACAAACTAATGGAAAAAAAAGGAATATACAACTAATAAATGATACTTCCATCTTCCATAAATCAGGATAAAATAAAAATGACATATTGGGGCCAGGCGCGGTGGCTCACGCCTGTAACCCCAGCACTTTGGGAGGCCAAGGCGGGTGGATCACAAGGTCAAGAGATCAAGACCATCCTGGCCAACATGGTGAAACCCCATCTCTAC